TTCAAAAATCATACGCAAGCTGACCCCGATTTCCCCCGTGCTGTGGGTGTCTCGGGCTATGGGTCGAGCGCCACCCTGAACGCTTCTTTCCTGCTCGGAACGCTGATTCGCTTCTAGAGCTATTCGTGAATTGATATCTACTGGTACTTCGGCTCGAATTTCGGGTTCCTCGATTCGAGCCTCGTTGCCGTTGTTGGGTAGCCTTTCAGCCACGAGCACCAAGTTGTTGATTTCATCCTGAAGGCCGGCTTCGAGATCGATTGGCAGAGCCATTGCTGGTATGAAGTTGTAAGCTGGAGTGTACTGTATATTTGTATCAAATAATCACTTGTTATCCTTAGCCCCACGGTGGGCACCAAACTGTTTACCCGAAAAATCGGATAACGTTGAATTTATGTATGGTTCTAAGGGTAAGTAGATTCCTTTGATCTGAAGATAACAATACACGTATTTATGATGCAAAATAGAAAATGATGAACAAAGATACTTAGTGAGTTTTAGAAAGATAAACACAATGAATTCTTAATCCCACGGAAGATCCCTTCTATTACAATCTATCTTGCCTTTTATAGCCAAGGATCACTACTTTATCTATAGCAACATAATAGAAATAATATTACTAGTGGAGGACCCATGATGGTGTGTCTCCTCCTTAATTCCCGCCAAGATTCTCTCCTTTGGTGCAGTTGTAACAGCTTTTTGTCTATGAGCTCGATACCGACTCGAGCTCGGTGTCGGATCGGAACCTCGGCCTTGGTTTCGAGCTTGATGATCACTTTCGGGCATCGATGTTCGGGACCCGTATCGGTCGATGTTACCTCGGTCGATTCGGACGTCCCGAGCTCGATGCCCCCATCTCGGAATTCGTTCGGGTTCTCCATGAAGATACCCCTTGACTGAGATGCCATCCTCAATCGATCTTCATGATCGAGGATCAGTTTTAACCGTATACAATAAGCATTAGAAGGATAATATGATCATTTGGAGATGCGGAGAGATGGTCAGGATCCCTTCACTCTTGAGCACAATAATTGTATGGCAAGAATGAAATCTTTTTTGGTATGAAGCAAGTTACTCTCCTTAGTGTGCTTACCTTACACGAATCCAAATTAATTGAACTTTGAATTGGATGGTTATATTATATAAAAACCGAGAAAAAAGAAGGATAATATATACAATAGAGGATAAGAGGAACCCCACATCTAGACATCAACTTATGGACTTGTAAACGGCCAGCCTTAAATTGGGTAAGCACCCCCTTATTTATTCTCTTGTCTATGCTAGTTTTTATACCAAACGTGTGCATGTACATGCCAAGAACATTAATAAAAAGTTAATAGGCGTTTGTCCATAAGTTTTGGAAGTTTTCTTTCAAAAAAAATAATTAAATATGTGTTTGTTTATATAATTAATCTAGTTTTTGGGAGATTTTGAAAACCAAAACTTCAAATCCCATAGAGCTTAAGACATCTTTTTGGGTCAAATCATGACTATTTGGGACTTTTTAGCTGGAAAAAAAAAGACTTTTTAACATATCAAAACTTGTCTCAAAATTCATGTCCAAAACACATTTTTAATTTCACATCAAACTTCACCCAAATCAGCTTTTCCAAAAAAATATGTGGGAATCGATGTCCAAATGGGTCCTTAGAATTCTTTTAAAAAGAAAGAGAATACTGAAGACATTGGCCACCAGGAAAAATAAAAAATTTCACCAATTTGAATTGGTGACCAAATGCAGCTTGCAACTTCTGGGCTGCAATCAGTCCCTTTGTAGACATGACAAAATTGGAATGATGCATAACTATTTGCTTGGCCATATTGTCAAAGTTTTTATCTTTCAGGGATCTGATAACAAGATCCCATAGCCTCTGCATCTTGCTATTAGGCCAAAAGATGGCAAGAATAACTTTAACTAGACGAAATATAAAACTCAGAAACAAAGAGTGGCACAGATTATAAGCAGTTCAAATGTATAAACTGTAGCGCTTCATATCTTTATAGTGTGCACATAAAACATCAGAGAGACTACAGAAATACATTGTTGATTTCAATTGAAACTGGATCCATAAGAAGAAGTGAGTTCTACAGAGGAAAAAATGTTGATAGTTCATAATTTTGGAGAAGCTCCATCTAGTCTGCAATGAAGAAAATGATTCTCGATTACAGAAACGAGCAGATATCTATCTACATGTAATGCTTGTGAAAAGACCTATGTAAAATTTGAAGGGGCCTCTTCAGATAAAAGGAAGAAAAAAAGGGGGAAAAGAATGTTATACATAAGGTAAAATGACAACAACTTTGCCGGTTACACCAAGGCTCCCTTTCTTATACATAAGGTAAAATGAAACAGATAAATTTCAATCCATCCTAAGAAGCAAGCGGGGCCAAGATCTACATTTGTGCAGTATCTCCAGACGAAACCCGGACATCCACTGAAATGCAAAGTCCCTTGTCACCTAGCTAACTCATAAAATCTCAATCAAAGTAATCATACGCGAGCACTGCCACTTCCAAGCGTGAGTTCCAGATCATCGAATCCTACATCGTGAATCCTTTCCCCTTCCCATGCCTTGACCGACACATTTTCGAAATCAAATTCTATGCTCTTACCCTTCTCCGTGATGATATCATTAGAACAGAGTGGCTGCGCCACAGGTTTTACAAGATTAAAAGTTGGAGAAGCTGGAACATTGGTAGCATACGTTTGGAAGTTGATCCACTGGCCTGAGTCAATGGTGGATGTGTCAGATTCGTCACACTCAGGTATAGTGGGAGGAGTAAAACGCTGACCCCGAGTTGGGCTTGCTGGGGCTGAAGCAGCAAAGAAAGGGAAATTTAAAGCAGACATTGATTCTTTGGCCAAAGTCTCCAAATTGAATGTTTGCTTAGGATGCCTAGTTGGTGATGAAAGAGGTGGCGTTACAGGGGCACTGTTTGATATTCGTAATGGAGGAAGTGATGAAGGAATGACATTATGAAGAAATGCGAATGGGTATGATGATATGTTAGCATTAGCACGCGATGGACTGGGGAAAGAAGAGGAGGTTGGACTCGGCTGATAAGATGGAATTGGGCTAGCAAAGTGTGATGATGGCGGACTTGGATTCCGTGAAGCACTTGGCGTGATGTTTGCTGAAGTGCCTCCGATCTCCATTGGGGTTGGCCTGCACCCCTGAATCACATAATAGTAGAAAGAAAGTCAGCATAAATTTTTTTGCTTATATTCAAGTTTGAGAACCTGGGCCTAACAGTTGAGATAGATAAAACCAGAAAGCATCAATACAAAATTTTAGTGAAATTTGAGTATCCGAGAGCAAATTTGCAGGATAGCATGGCAAGACAGGAAATTACTACAACGCTCTACCCAAGGGGTGATGCTAATAACCTAGCAGCGATTGAGTTCATCTCAAGCATTGCTTATTGTTTAAGTTCTAAACCCCAAACCACACAGTTACGATTGATAGATCAGAAGGCAGTAACACGAAAGTTCTCATGAAATTTGAGTTTTCAGAGAGAAAATTTGCAGGATAGCATGACAATCGAGCTAATAAAAGAATCCTTCAACAGATTACAAACTGGAATATAGAAAAGCATTCACTACAGAAGAAAGCACCAAAGGCAGAATCATCCAACTCCACCCCATAAGCTCCAAATAAAGGGACCCTACTTCTCACTACCAAATAAACAACAATTGAACTCCAGAAGATCAGTCTTTTCCCCTAAAATTCCTTCCATTTTAAGACAACTTATGCACTGGATCACTCTAATTTCTCAAAATAGCTAATGCACAAGAACATTAACAGATAAAACAAAGAATGCAGCAAATCCAACAGACTAGTAACTGAAAGATTGAAACTCTTATATGCTAAAATGCATACAAGACCAAACAAATGCTACAACAGAAGTTCATACAGAACGAAAAGACAATAGTTACTCCAACCCAGTTCCCAGATCATCCTGAAACAATTATAAATCCATTGAAACCGGTTCATTAAAAAAGCAATCTTGATCCAAATAGAGCAAAACCCATTTGCCTAACCTTTAGATCTAAGCAAATCCAAGAACAACCCGTTAATGGGTTCACCCAAGAAAAGAAAAACTAAGAATGAAGTAAAATAAATTATAACCACACAAATTAATCAATCAATCCCAAGTCAGTTGGGTCGACTCTATAAATCATCTTTAATCATTCTGTTTAATTCAGTTCCAAACTTATTAGGATCAGTTTTATGAATCCTCACTAACTATTCCACTCTATTCGCTTGAGATTCGGCAAAACTAGTAACTGTGGCTCAAAACTCGATATATGTTTTAGGAAATTTACTAAATAAGCACATAAATTAAATGCACTCACAAAGTTCAAATCTTAACTTCGCCTGACAAAGTGGATCGCAAATTGAAGAGACAAAAGAAAAAATGTAACCTTGGGATAAGTGGTACCATCAGGTTCAACAATCCAACCAGCTTCAGCACAAAGGGCTTTAAGAACTTCATTATTATCACAGTTTTTAGGAAGATTATAATTCCCTTGAGCTCTTAAGCCTGTATAAATCTTGGCAGCCATTGCTCTTCTTCTTCTCTCTCTTCTCCTGTTATTTTCTCTCTCTCTCCAAGAAGGCTTCCTCCTCCCACAATTACTACCACTTTCCGGTAAACCAACTCCGGCACCACCAATTCCATCACCGCTACCGGCTGCGGAGGAAGAAGCTGTTGATCCTCCTCCAGCTTCCCACATCATTTTGTTTGTTGGTGGTGATGTTTTCTCTTTCTCACGCGCGCATTCTTCTTCTTTTTTTCCTGTCTCTCTGTATGTATATGGGGAGAAAAGAGGGTGGGGAGAGAGGTTGTAGACACCCGTTTAGGACGAGTCCGAAATCTAATTGTGTTTACCATAATAGGAAAAAAAAAAAAAAAAAAAAAGNTACTTTAAGCTATATTTTATAATACGTTTGCTCTTATGTTTCCTCTTTTCTTTTCATGGAATAGTAATTCTTTGCGTGAAATGTCTGCAGTTGGATTTTTATCTAGTGTCCTTCTTTATAATGGGGATTTTTATTATCTTAAGTTACAGTAAATGCGCTAACAACAGCTCAGACCAAAAAAAAAAAAAAAAAAAAAGAGAGAGAGATTGCGCACTATTTTATATACAGCACCCTGTATTTGAACTTAAAATAACGCACATATATACCACGCTATAGTATAGCGCTGTATAGTATAGCACTATATATATGCACGCTATTTCAACACCCCCCCACACATTTTTAACGAACAAAAACTCGGTTGGAACCCATCGGTCCCACAAAAAATGTAGATTCTCGGTATCGAATCTAAGGCGTTATCGCATAGTGGGTTGCTCATTTCGGCTCTAAATCATCAAATATTCAACTTTCAAAAAATTAAAATCTAGATATTCCGACTTATTTTTTGTTAAAACTCATGTATAAAAAATGTCTACTAGTTATTTTTTACTATGTTCTATGTTATTTCGTGATTGTTTTGCGATTTAATTAATTTATTTTTTTTATCCGGGTTATATTATTAGTGTGCTAAAAAAATAGTAAAAAAGAGAAATTATTATTTTATGAATAATTAATGTTTTTAGTTGTTATAAAATATGGTAATTAGTTATTTTTTTTACTGTGGTATATGTATTTTTGTGATTGTTTTGTGATTAAATTAATTTGTTATTTCTTATCCGGATTAGATTAATTATGTGCTAAAAGATTAGTAAAATAGATAAATTATAATTTTAGGAATAATTAATCTTATTTAGATGTTATTGTTGTATATATATTAATATGTGACTTTAATGTTGTTTAGTTCCCTGTAGTGTTATGTTATGCCCGTAATTTTAATATAGTGTCCGTAATTGTAATGTAGTGCCCTTTAGTGTAGTAAAATGCAGTTCCCTTTTGCGTAGTATCTTTATAGTTATTGAAATTAATCATTTAATTATATGTTAGCCCAAAATATATCTGAAAAAGATGATAGTCTAAACACAAACTCTCTCGAATTCTAGTCAACAAACGTAAGAAAATAACATTAAAAACAACAATATTACTAAGTATTTTTATATGAATATTTGATAATTAAAGCATGTATAGTTATGAAAATTAATTATTTAATTCTATTATACTCAAAAATAAGTGAGTAAGAAAACAAACATATAAAATAATAAACTAACATATAAAATAAGAAACTAACATATAAACTAATAAACAAACATATAAAATAGTAAACTAACATATAAAATAATAAAGTAACATATAAAATAATAAACTAACATATAAAATGATAAACCAACATATAAAATAATAAATTAACATATAAAATTATAATATATAAAATGTATCAACCTAAGTAACAATATAGTAAAAATATCAAATAAATTTTAATATTAAAGATATAGTAATATATTTAAAGATGTTAAGCAATTAAAAATAAAAATACTTTAATTAATATTTTTCAATTTACAATCATCATCATGGAGGTTCCGCATGTGCAACCCGTACCTGCATCGCTAGAGATACTGTTGCTACATGCCGACCATAGGTCTTCATACGTATGGGATGGACAGTGTTTGTCCCAGACATTCCGCGCCAGACGTATAGATGATATGTGGGAGTTCATTAGGGTCCACCCACTCCATCTCCGTATAGTTAGACGCCTTCAAGATAGGGGTTTCTACAGGATCATAGAGATCGGCCGGTTGCAGTTCGACTGGGCGTTGATCACGACTATGATAGGGCGGTGGTGACTGGAGATGCACACGTTTCATCTACCCATCTGTCACGAGCCAAACTAACCTCTGTCGTGATGACGCCTATCGTGGAACTAGGCAAGCCGACTCATTTCCAAAACAAACCAATATTTTCATTTCAAAGCTAATTTCAATGTTATTTAACACAAAAACCTTCGTAAAGGAGTTCCAATCAAAATAAAAGTACGGAAGGAAAAGCCCGACATCGGGGTGTCACTAGTCATGAGCATCTACTACAATCTGTCTAACAATATCAAGACTAACTCAGTCTGGAAAATAGCTAAATACAACTAAAGGAAGATAAGAGGGAGAATAGCAGGGCTACGATTGCCAGGCAACTACCTTGCTATCCCCGAGAAAATCTGCAATCAGAACAATTAACGACTGCTACCGTGTCCAGCTACACCTGGATCTACACACAAGGTGCAGGGAGTAACGTGAGTACGCCANGCTTATGTCTCCCAGTTACTCAGCACTCGGAACTCGGCACTCGCACTCAGTAGGTACCTGCGCTCACTGGGGGTGTGTACAGACTCCGGAGAGGCTCCTTCAGTCCACGCACTATAATTTGCACGGACAACTCACATGCTATAATAATAAAGTATGCTGCAGGAGGGCAACCCCGATCTACACTCATCCTCACAATCAGGCCCTCGGCCGATATCAAACATGTTGCGGCGTGC